TCCATAAAATGCTTTAATAGGATTATTAGGGAACTCATCTTTGAATTTACCGATAACAGATGAGGTAATGGGGATATTGAAACTATTCTCGCGCGGATAATTGGAAGTATCGAAGTGATTAATATTTTCAGTAATGTCACGGTAAAAGTTTTCAGTGAACACTTTCAAAATGAAGGAATCGGTATCCATGTACATCAAGGAAATGTTGTGTTGATATTTTCGTTTAAGAAAGGTGTAGTAGAAGTCGTACATAACAACTTTTGATAAATCTAAGATAGTAAAACCAACGTAGAGAGGTTTATCGTAAATAATACGTAATTTATTCATCTGAATGACTACGAAATTGGGAGTGAATGTCTTAGAATTTTTGAAATTAGGTTTAACTATTAAACTTTCCTCACCAAGAAAGCGTCCAGAATTTTGCCAATGAGTGACTAATTTTACATCAACTGGTTTCCGAAAACACTATTGTTCATTAATTTGAAGAAGGATTTCCCAAATTTATTTACAGACAAATTACGTTGTCGGGTATTTAAATCGATGAAAGGTTTAAGCCAGTGGGACTGTTTAAACGGGATAACTCTGTGAATTTTAAGTAATCGTAGTCCATTATGAAGGGCTTGTTAAAGCGTAAGATAATACAGAACATATTTTGTCTTATTCATAAGGTTCGGTATCAGTTTTTTTACTTTACCATTCACATTAGCAGGAGAGATAATGTTTTCAACTAAGAAGGGGAGATCAGCATGTAAATCATGGAGGTGTTGGGGATATTCAACATCTACTTCAAGTACGTAACCGTATTCAGAAGAAGCATCTAAAGAGAAAACATTCAATTCATCAATTTCGGCTTGGGTTAGCCAACGGAAGTGGGAAATAGGAAGTGCTTGACTCATACTATGTCCATACAAATTAATAGCATCCAAATACATAATGTAGGAGGTAGGTGCGGACGCGTTGTAATCGGGGATGTGAGGGTTGTTAGCGAAGTGCATTCTTTGAACGCATTGACTAATTCCTCCACGTACCCCTTTTTGAAAAAATTTTAACATATCGATATCAGTCAGAAGTTGTAAACTAACGCGAGTGAATTTTAACATACTATCCCACGCAAGCCTTGGCGCTGTGTAATACTGAGCAGGATCTAAGTCGTAAGTGGTGAGACATATTTGTCGGAAATTCTCGAAAACATCAGCTAGCAAAAGAACATCTGTTTTCAAGTAGATATCGGAGTATTTTCCTAGAGTTGAACATAAAAAAGTATTCCAAACAGTTTTAGCTCTTTTGTAATCGTCATCGGAAACGGGGAGGGAAGTCAATTTATCGGGGAAATATTATTTCATCAAGCTTAGCAACATCATCAACGTAGGAATAAGGGAAAACACCTTTCCGTCGCACAAGTTGAAAGTGATTAGGATCGGGAAAGTATTTTTTCACTTGCAAACATTGATGAGCATCAAGTTCGTCCGACAGCTTGTCGAGGGAGCAAGCCATGAAACGATAGGAATCGAGAAATCTAATCTTCACGAACACATTTGAACCGTATCAACTCGTAATAATTTGGAAAAGGATATGTATTTTTCTTTATTTTGAGCTATTACGGTAAATTTAACATCGTTCACAGCCATTTCCTTTAGAAACAAGTGGCAATCATATCCGGAGAGGTTGTGGAAAAAAACAGGTACAAAGTTGGGTAGTTTGTAATTTAAATTACATCTGGAGTGAGCAGCTCCTAATCGAACTTTACCGGTCAAATGACAATGATCATGCACCTTGACGTCATCGTCCAGAAAGGGTTCTTCGCAAATATTGCAAGAGGTAGCGTCAGAGAAGGAACGTATTTCTTCATCTGTCAGGGGTATCATGGGAGAAACGATCTTCAAATATCGATGATAAATATCATAAACATCTCGATTGAGAGTTGTAACGAATTGATTGGCGCAATCGGGGCCTCGATACGATCTGAATTTCGAGAGGGAATCATCGAAGGAGCACCTCATCAAATAAGCAAAGGAATGAGGTTGATGTTTGTGGGTGGATGTGATGGCAGTCTTATTAGGGACATGAAAACATGTGTGAATTGGTCGCAGTACGGTTTCAAAGTCACAAATGGTACTTTGATACGTTTCTGAAAATTTTCAAATTTTAAAATGTGATTGGGGATAAACCTACCCATCTTATCCATCTTGAAATCACCGTTGGGAAGGCTGATGTAGACATGATTACAGTCATGCTGCTGATGACGATGTAGGTGAGGTAAAGCAGAGAAGTATTGTAGGCAACCGTCGCATAAGAATTTGCGATGTCCAGTTTTAGAAAGTTGTTAAGAAAGTAAACGGGACATGTCCTTTATCCAACAGTAGTGATTATTTCCTAGATCATCATCGAGCAAGAGCAGATTGAAGTGTAACCGTCGCTTGATGGGTGAGTAGTAAAGGGGGCCAACGATTTCCCATGTCCACTTTCCATCTTTCAAAACGGATTCGGTCCCGTAGACATTCACAGAGCAATGGTTCTTCGATTCAAATTTCGATATGTCAGTTAATTTCATAGGAAATTGGATACCGTCGTAGTCCAAAGTGTGGGAGTAATGTGGATAGAAAGTAGTTCTTTGCGGGTTCGCTTGTGCGGGAAACAGAGCTGACGTAATTGCCCATGCGAAGCAGGCCTGATCGTCGTTTCGCACATTCACAACCGCTTTCTTGAATAAAATTTGTTTCGGTAACGGAATGTAGGAAGACGCTCTCAACGGATTGTACTTGTTAAAGTTGATTTCAAGGAAAAGAACCCTTTCTAAAATCTATCCTGTAGAAATAGGGAAATATTAAATGAAATGAAACGTATACTAAAAAAGGATGAGTTACCTGACTCTCGTTCTTGAAACTCTGACGCTTTAGCCTCAAGTATCTCAAAGAAGTTTTGTAGAAGATGAGGAAGATCGATGGATCGAGTCACAACATTGTTGTTGGTGTTGAAGGATTTAATTACAACCAACTGTTTGGTTTCGTGCACGTAACGTCCAAAAACGTGTCGTGGAGGTGGATCTGATTACGTATAACACGAACGCATTTGTCGAGAACATCGGTGAAGAAGTCGTTATACGATAGAAGGTATTTCGCAGACGTAATACGAAACGAAGCAATCCGGCTAGCGAAGGCAGAGGAAAGGAAACTGATTACATCCTCAAAAGGTGAACAACAATTTTGTTTATGCTGTAGGGTGCGCAAGTGACCGTTGTACGAAGATTGAGGAACATATATTTTCCACGTTTCACACCAGCGGTCGGAAGAGGTGGCATATGCAGCATATTTCGGTTTTTTATTGGGTAGCGAGGAATTAGGATGGTACTGTAATCGTTTACGACACGAAGCTTTTTGATTTCGTTTTAGATCGCGTAAAGGACGTATCGCAGTCCGGACAACGAATCATATCGGTTAGATGTAACAGAGGTGTCTCGAGAAAGACTGAGGAAGACCGTGTGCGAAGTAGATTATAACAACGTAAGAAAATGTGAGTGGGAGAAAATGAAGGTGAGGGCTGTTAGGGGGATGGGGTAGTTTGAAGATGTTTAAGAGACATGTATAGAGGAAAAGATTAAGTGAAATGGCTGAATTGGGACAGTGTGATGCGGCAGATGCGTCAGTGATTAGTTTGGACGAATCGGAGCTGTCAGCGATACTGGAGAAGTTTTTCCACAACGACGAGTTGGTGACGAAGACAGTCGGTGGAGGAAAATCATGTGTAGATGTAGCTACGGAAAGGATAGCAGTACCTGTGGCAAGTACATCGCGGACGCCGGTAAGGGGCGGTAAATCCGTAAGTATGAAGCCTAAGAAGCGGACATACAACAGAAGAGTGTCGGGCAGTCCGTTGGATTATTCAAAGCTGGTGGAGCAGGTGCGAGAAGCAGTGAAGACACTTCAACGGGAGAAGCGAAAACGGGAAGGTGAAATAAAGGACCATGACATGAAGGACGCTTCAGTTTTGGAACAAATAAAGCGGAAAGAGAAAGAGTTGGAGGATCTGAAGAAAAGTCGTGAAAGCAGCTGTAGAATGGTGGTGGAAGGTAGAAAGAGAGTGGAAGAGGTGGAGCAGAAGTTAAATGAATTGCAAACACAATTGTTGAACATATTT